AAAAATGAAGATTTCCTGGAGCCTTGTCTCTGCGTGTACAGGTGATTCTTCACCTTTAGATGGGTAAATGTTTCATTTGCTTAGAGGCATTGAGTGGTCTGCTCTGGGCTCTTTACCATCTTCTACAACTAGTATTTTGAAAACCCTCTGGACTTTCAGAAATGGTTGACAAGTGAGTGCCTCTCTCAATTATATCTAATGTAAATGAGTTGTTAAAGGTGGAGATTACCCAAAGTTAGGACTTAGGCACAGCTTTCCATGATTATTCTGTAGAGTCATTACCTAGTGTCTCAGGAAGGCATGGGGTGTTGCATGAAAGCCCTGATTGTGCGAATTGGTCCTACATCCTTTTACCTTATGCCCCAGGTACTCTGTGGATATCCCCTTGGACAAAACCATTGTTAACAAGGATGTCTTCAGAGACCCTGCTCTTAAACGCAAGGCAAGGCGGGAAGCCAAGATGAAGTTTGAGGAGAGGTATGTTGGCATTACTTGGTCATTGTTGGGATGGTTGCCTAGTTCACTGTAAGAGAATTTCATTTCCCTGCTGTCTGTCTTTACTCATGAGTGTCTTCTTTCCTCTCTCTAGGTACAAGACAGGCAAAAACAAGTGGTTCTTCCAGAAGCTGAGATTTTAAATCTTCAATTTCAGTCATTAAAAATACCCCCCAAAATCCTAGTGTCTGACTGCTGCATGTGTTATTAGTCTAAGAATCATTTGTGGGGTTCATGGCATTGGGTGATGGAAAATATAAAATAAAGTTAAAACTATTGTGAGACTTGAAATACTATCCTCAGCCTGCTATTTATTCCTTTAATGATAAAAATTATCCAAAAGGGCTGCTAGTAACATTTTTGTGTCATTTTCCCCTAAGCAGAATTTATGTCCCTCGTTTTATTCCACTATAACCCATCCCATGCTTGTCTTTCCTTTATGCTGTCAAAAACTCGTGGGAATGAGGTGATTTGGATTGAAAACCATCCTTGGACCCTTAGTGCTGGTTAGAGTCACCCAAGTGGTTTTGTTGAACTGAACTACGTTGCTATGAGTCCCTTCTGACTTGGACCAGTGAGTCCTAGATGCAAGTTCTGGTCTACACCTCTGGTAATTTGAATCTGTCAGAGAAAGGTGGGCAGTCAAAGAGCTAAGGTGCTGGTTTGTGTGGTGCAGGAAAGGTAAGCACTAGTTGTGATGGTCTGGTTTCAAATAATTGCTTGGAACTGGGGTACAAATAAGTTTGTTAGCCAAGTTTTGAAGTCTTGCCTACAAGTATTTGGGAATTTTGATGGCATAGTTAATAGAGGTGCACAGTTGACCCATACATAGTATCTCTGGCTGTTGATGTATCAGCTTCTCTGAAGAAGAATCTGCAGTTTTCCTGTACCATCAAGTCAGATCTGATTGGTACAGGAGGAGATTGCCCCTCCTCCAGCAACGCATCTGGTGGATTTGAATTTTGTGCCTCGGATTGCAGTGCAGCATCTTGCTACTAGGCCACCAGAGCTCCATTGAACATGGATCGGAACCTTTCTGTTGTACTGTCCTCGCCATCTCCATTATTAATGTACTTGACCTTGTAGTTGCAGTCACCCTCCAAATCCATCTTGAGGGTGTTCTACACTATCCTTGTCAAGCATGATGTCCTGCCAGGGCTGGCCCCTTCTGCCAAAAGTGTGAGAAAATTTCAAAATTCTTTCCAAGAATCATCCTGATCACACTTTATCCAATACAGATTTATTCTTTGGACAGTCTGCTGCTCAGTACTCTTCAATACAACTCCAAGGCATTGATTTGATTCTTTCATTCTTAGACATTTTCCAACTTTGAGATGTTATGTGCTGTCAAGTCACCTGCAACTCATTGCGACCCTGTGTACAACAGCCCTAAACCCTTCTCTATTCTGTGCCAGTCTTAACAGACACATTTACCCCAATCAATCCATCTCATCAAGGGTCTTCCTCTTTTGTGCTGTTCTTCCTCCACCTTTCCAAGCGTAATGTCCCTTTCCAAGGACTGTTTCCTTTTTGCAACATGTCCAAAGTGTCAGATGAAGCTTCAGAATCCTTGCAGCTTGGCCAGAAAATATATTTGTTCTCATTCCAAAGAAAGGTGATCTGACAAGAGTGGAAATTATCAAACAGTATCATTAATATCACATGCAAGCAAGATTCTGCTGAAGATTATCCAAAAACAACTAGAAAAGCACATTAACGGGTGCAGCCTGGCTTTAGAAAGTGTCGTACTAGGGATATCAGTAGCTAATATTAGAAGGATCTAGGTTGAAAGCAGAGTACCAGAGGAATGTCTATCTGCATTTCAATGGCTATGCAAAGGTGTGTGTGTGTGGACCACAACTAACTTGCTGACTCTCAGAGGAATGGGAATCCCAGAAAGCTTGATCAGACTTAAACGAAACCTATCCTTGGACCAGTCATCAGAACAGAGCACGGCAAAACTGTATGGTCCAGAATTGGGAAAGGTGTACGCTGGGGGTATGTCCTGTCTCCATACCTTTTCATTCTATATGCAGAACAGATATCTGGGAGGCTGGGCTAAGTGTGGCATCAAGATTGGAGGAAGACTCAACAATCTGCGTTACGCAGATGACACAACCCTGCTTGTTGAAACAACTTTTGGGATGGATAACAATCGAGAAGACTGCATTGCATCAGACCCACACCTTAAGTCTTTAAAATTCTTTCTCTTCAGCACTGACAGATTTTCCCAATGCAATAGCTCTTGATTTCTTGACTGCTGATTTCAAGGGTGTTGTGGATCCAGGTGAGATTAAATCGTTGACAATGCCAGTCTTCTCCATTTATCATGATGTTGTCTATTGTCCAATGGTGAGGGTTTTTGTTTTCTTAGTGTTAAAATGTAATCCATATTGAAGGCTCTAACCTTTGATCTGTAGCAAGGGTGTCAGGTCCTTATTTTGAGCAAACAAGGTTGTGTCAAATTGTACTCATCTTGTGTCACCATTGGTTATTAGTCTTATACTACTTTTTGTGTTGGTGTATATAGATATATAGATATGCTACTTCTTATAATGGTTCTAAGTCAATTCTTTTTGATATTGTGACTATTCTTTAGGTGTTTCCTGGATCATTCAAGATTTTGTCCATAGCATCCTTCACTGCTGTGACTTGGGGCATGAATTCTGTTCAGCCATTTGCTTGTCTAGGGTTTTTGCTAAGGGGTACAATACATAATTGTTGATTTTGTGATATTTTAACCTCCAAACCCCTTAACTTCCTAGTGCTATGGCCTTCAGCCTGTTGCTAAACCTCTACTTTTTAAAAAAAATTTTTTTTTATTGTATTATTTTTATGTGTACCGTCAAATCAGATCTGACTGGTACAGGAGGAGATTCCTCCTCCTTCAGCAGAGCATCTGGTGGATTCAAACCGTGTACCTCTGGGATTGCAGTGCAGCGTCTTGCCACTAGGCCACCAGAGCTCCCTTAAACTTCTACTTCTGTTTTATCAACTGCAAATGGAAATAGAACCTACTTTGTGAAGTGATTTTGAGAATTGAATTAATCCACATAATGCAGAAAGATTGGTCACTGCTATTATATATGTGCTGCAGGAAAATTTATAACCTTGGTCAAGGGACTGTCCTGGCCACATACAAGTTCAAGTTTTGTCAGTGCCTGCATATGCCCTATGCATTAGAGGCTCTGTTAACTGTGTAGCGTTGCATTGGAACTGATCCATAGCGGACCCTTCTGCAGGTTATCAGAGGCAGTTAATTGCATGGGAGGAGATTGCCTATCCTTTTCCCTTGGAGCAGCTGGTGGCCTCAAACCGCTCACCTTTGGGATTGCAGAGCATCTTCTTGCCACTAGGCCACCAGAGCTCCCTTTTTGAGGCCCTAAGAGTACATATACTGACAATGCATATGAAGCTTACCAATTTTGAACTCCCATCCCATGATGCCAACTGGGATGATAGAGGCAAAGAAGTAGGACTTTGGGAAAATTTGAAGAAAAGTACAGCCGAAAAGTGTGTGTTGGGTTCACTGGGAAGGGGCTGTAGAATCGCCTGCACTCATAGTGAACCTAAGTATAACCGCCCTAAACCCTGCTCTATCCTCTGCCAATCTTACTGTCTCCAGCACACCCACCCGTATTACCCCAGTCATTGAGTCAATCCAACTCATCGAGGGTCTTCCTCTCCTGCCTGTCCCTCCACCCTCCCAAGCATAATATCCCTCTTCAAGGACTGATCCTTCCTTGCAACATGTCCAAAGTACGTCAGACAAAGCTTCAAAATCCTTGCCTCCAAGGAGCAGCTTGTTTTAACCCTTTCCAGGACGAAACTTCGTTCTCTTAGCAGTCCATGGTATATTCAACACTCCAGCACCACAGCTCAAAGTCTACTGCTGTTCATAGGGTTGTTTCCCTTGAGCCTCCAACTGGGCCAGAGCAGCTTCCGAGTCCACGGAGGCTCCTCCCATCCATGGGAGGGGCGCTGGCTAGGGGCGTGTGAGCATCAAAGGGTAGGGCTTTTGAAGAAATGAAAGTGGAAGCAATCCGTCCTGGAGAACCTTCAGTGTTGTGCTTCGGTCCTTGCTGTGGCTGTAAGATAACAGGAATTCCTATAAAGAGTAAAAGCAACGGTAACGTTGTGGATTCTGTTGCTTCGTGCCCCCCTCTGAAGCCTTGAGTCTTGATCACCCACCAGAAGTCAGACTCCTGTCTGAGGCCCATGAAGCTGTAAGTAAGGAAGACGGATGGGGGTGGGGAGAATCAAAGGGGCACAGCTCCCTCTGCTTATCTCTTACAAACTGGAATTCCCTCTCTGTGGAGTTAATAATTTCTCAGCTCCAACACTTTATCCTCTTATTGCTTTATTTGTAGCCGTAATACATCACTGCCATATTTGAGACTTAAACTCCATAAGGGTCATGAGAATTTTCTGTTTCACCTGCTGCTGTGTACGGTCGGAACAAGGCCTGGCATGTGGTGGATGCTCAGTTGCTATTTGTGGAATGAATGAATAGAATTCTGCGAATAGCCTATTATTTGATCTCTCTTTTATTGCTTCCCCTCCTTTGGTGTCTCCCAGTCCTGACCCAGTTTATCTCTGACCCTGTGTTCTTTTCAAGACTCCTAACTAGGGTTGCCATCGACTACATTGTCAAAGCTTTGTCCTTTAAAGAGCTCACCCATCCTTCTGACTTCCACAGTCACCATGTTCAGTTCCAAACCAGAGTTCTGTCCACCATCTCAAACTCAAATATCTAAAACAATCTCATCCTTCTTGTCAACTTTAAGGGGAGGAAAAACAGTCAATGTAGTATCAAGTGGCCTTTGGTGATATAAAGGTAGTTTTGACTTACTCAGACCTCTGTCTAACCTTGATAAACATCTAGTTCTGTATCTGTATTTAATATAGCACTTACTACATTTCAGGCACTGCTGTTCAAAGCAAAATTATAGGTGAAAATTGCTGTCCAGCCCATTTTACAGATGAAGAAATCAAGGCATAAAGAATGAAATGACTTGCCTATGATTTTGTGGTAATAGGAGAAACGGAGGTGTAAACCCAGGAAGCTTGGCTCAAATTTGTGTCCTTAATCTCAGCTGCCTCCCTGTACTCCCATGATTAGCCTAAATTACATGAAATCTTATCCTGTGGTTCTAAATTCAGGTTCT